TTTCGGCTTTTTTGGGTGCACTCGCACATCTCGCCGCCTGTCACGCCAAAAGGCGATTAAGAAAGCCAGGCCAAGACCAGCAGACCAGCAGACCAACCGACCATTTAGCAATCCACCAATCCCCGGACAGTCCAAGTCAAGGAGCAAAGGAAAGCCAATCCAAGCCGAGACGAGTCGTGTGTCCGGGCCAACTGGTTTACCCGAGTGCCACAGCCAGAGCCTGGTGTCAATGACTGGATGACTTCTGCTCCATAATTGGCTACTTTATGCCAACGCAAAATGTGTTTTAATTTTTGTGTGTATGCTTTGGTTGTGGCCTGGTCAATCCGCTTTTCACTCATCCGAACGTTTCGCTCTGTCTGCGATTGATGAAAGTGCATACGGCGAGTCTAGGCTCTGTGCAGCGGTCGTGACATCGCACAAACACTGTGCGAAATCGGGAGAACTATCGCGGGGGATAGATTGCCTTTGGGTAACAATCATTGACCCCAAAAAGTGAATTAATAATTTGGCAATTCCTTTCTGTGTGTGCCTTGAGTTTCATTCCTTAGGATCTGCAGCGCTGACAGCCTGCTTGATGGATCTCTGGCCTCAAGTGCAATCAAAAGAATTCATTCTGCAGTCCAGTCTTCCTCATTTCAGGCACAACTCGTTTCGCCCTGTGTGCCTGCTGGGCTCTTTGTGTTTGCTTGTTGTGTTCTTTTGGGCCAAATGTGCCGCTGGCCATGATTCAGTTTTCGGTCGTGTCGTGGCTTTGGATTGCTTAATTGAAAATGCCTTGGCTGCTGACTGCTGGCAAATGGGGATAAAAACGGGCCAACAGATTGAAAGGCAGCAAAGCAAAATCTTTCGCACGCTTATCTCGATGTTGGCCAACACAATGCGCAGCGTTTGGCTATGCCGCTCGCACGGCATAAATCCCGGCTAAATGCAAAAGTTAAATGCAGCAAGTTAACGCCAACTCCGCCATTCTACCACTCTGCTCACATCTGCGGCTGGGCTCCATTGTTATGGGGGGCACACCCTCGGGATACATACTCGTATATGAAGGCAAAGGCAGGGACGGCTGCTGCTGCTGCTCCAGATCCCGCCAAAATGTGTTCAAATGCCAAAAGTTTTGTTTGCAAAACTCTTCAGCTTTTTGGGGCCGCACCTTCTCCTCCCTAATGGCACTCCCACAGGGCGTATACGCAACTCTTGGCAGACATTGATCTTTTGCCACTCTTTTTTGTTGCTTTTTTGTTGTTTTTTGTTGTTTTTTGTTGTTTCTGTGGGGCGTTGACATTGTGACGCGCGGCGGTACGTGAAACGTGACATGACGTGAGGCACATTCTACGTGCCGCAGCGGAAATTTCCAGTCAATGCCAGGGCAGCAGCAGCGGTACAGGAGCCCGGGAGGAGCAGGTAGGCAGGGGAGCACAGCACGAGAGATGGAGCGGAACCGTCTTTGAATTTTAAGTTGCATTTAAAGGCAACTTACAGCATGCCAACCCCCACCCACCGTACAGTATTATAGCCAGTCATGGAATGTGAATAAGTGCGCGTGTGAGTGTGTGAGTGATGCGTGTGTGTGCGTGCACGTGAGTCTGCAGCAGCTGCAGCAGGCACTGCAGCGTTAGGGATTATCTGCGGCATTTCCTGGCAGCAAGATTGATTGAGCCCAAAAACCCCATTGCATTTCATTCATGATTCATTCACGCACTCAAGGTGATTCATGCTAATTTACGAGTGCTCACTGGCATTCATATGAGCATTCAAAAACTGCACTCAAAAGCGTTGACAACAACAAATAAATTGAAATTTAGTTTAAATCTAAATTTGTGTGTTTGGTTAGCCTGGGGTTCATTCATGAGTGCCTTCATGGGTGCACTCATGTCACATAATCGCAGGGAGTTACCTCATGCGGCGGCAATTAATCGGAGGAAGCCAGTATCTATGTATGTGCCACAGAGATCGGGTTTCGGAGGCCATTGTCCGGCGCGACCTGTTCCCAATTCGAGTGCAACCACTCGAAGGGGTTTTCCTCTGCAGCAGCAGCAGCAGCAGCAGCTCGTTTTACCCTCTCCTCTACTCTCCTCTCTCCACTCCTCTCTCTTTGCTCGCGTTTCAAGGTTAGCCGTATATCCAGATTTTATGCAAAGCAGACGACAGACGCAGCCTCTGGGAAATTGCAATTCTGTACGCAATATTTTATACATTTTTTCATTTGGTTTATAGTTTTTTTGTAAGGCAGCAGCGTAATGCATCGTTTTGCCTTACGTAAGCAACGGGCTATCCAGCTGCAGTTGCAGTTGCAGGCGACTTGTACTCGTACTCGTACTCGGTATATGTGCCACACAGTTGATCTGTTTGGCTGTCTCACTCTGCCTTTGTGTTGCAACTTGTCGTCGGCAGCAACATCAGCAACAGCAGCAGCAGCAACTTGTCCATAAATTGTGCCGCCGCTGGCTGTAAATCCGGCCAAAAACGATTCTCAATTTTGGCCCGTTGCTGTTTCTGTTGCTGTTGCTGTTGTGTGTTTTGGGGCGCCCTGCAGCAACACACATCACATCACACATCTCACAAGCTGCCAGCTTCAGATGCAGGTCGCATTTAGCTCCGATTTAATTGCCAGCTAGCCAGCCAGAGAGCCAACCACCATTTGCAATTAAAAGAGCCAACAAACTAAGCCCAAAACCAGGCACTAAATAATGCCAGCAAAGTCGAAGATATCCATACACTGGACACTCATTAACTGGGACCTGCATTTGCATTGCAGATGCAGATTACATTTCTTTTAGAGCAATCCTTTGGAATGGCTGGAGAATAGGTTTTGGGTTTTTATTGCTGGCAGATTGTAGCTCTTTCCAACAGTCATAAGAATGCAATCTGCTCTCAATGTTTGTTGAATCAATGGGCATATAAGTCAGCTCTTTGGAGAGTTAAATCCCACTATGGAGCAGACTAACTCCATTTTGAGCCACAAAACTCGAGCAAAACTCTGCGCAAAATCTGGCATTTGCCTTTAAGTACATGTGTTGCAGACGCCTGGTGGTTGTTGTTGCTGCTGTACACTTTTGTGTTCACTTTGCGTAAAATCGACAAATTTGTCAAACCAAGTCGCGGCGGCCAATCAATGCGAGTGCTCATGCGCATTGTACAATCCAAATTGTTGTCATTTCATTTTCATTCAAGTTGTTGTTGTTTTGATACGCGTATCTGTTTTTTTGTTGTTTTTTTGTATGCATTTTTGTTGTATTTTTGTTTGCATTTTTGCTGTGGTGCTGTTGTTGTTGGGCATGCAATTTTATGTAAGCAGCTGTGCTGCAGTCGCTGCCATAAAGAAATGTTAAGCAATGCGTAAGAGACAACAGTCAAAGAGCCAAACAGTTAAGAGTCCAACAGCCGAGAGTCCAAACCAAACTGTAAGCCATGTAAATGATGGCTATATATAAATGTAAATGGCCAAAGAGTTCCATAAACATGACTTGTTTAGCTTTATGCTGGTCCAATGACCCAATCAATGTCTGAACACTATTTTCTTTTGCTGTTTGCTGTTTGCTGTTTGCTGTTAGTAGGTAAATGTGCCATTACCCTACCACATCCCCATATCCATAGAATGTCTTGAGTGGCAGCAAGCAGCTTGCCGGATATGGATACGACTGCGATTTACGGCTTATGGCGGGGGGAAAGCTAGTTGATGGGTTTCTGCCACTCGCACTACAAATAAAATAAAATTCCATTGCACGCTGCTACTTTGGAGCCGGCTTTCAGCTTCCCATTGTACTGCACTTTGATTCTGTTCTCGAAGTAATGGATTCTTTTCTCAAACAAAGTTTTACTTAAAACATTTAACTGCAGTTGCCAGGAAATCTGCACCCAAAACCAAAACATCTCTTAGTAGCTTTTGCGAGGCAACTAATTATATTTATTTTGAGCCGATTCAGAGCGCTGTATTTCAGATATTTCTATTCATATTTACTCAATATATTTAAGTTATTTGCAGGCAGCAACATTTTGACAAATAGAAAGTTTCGCCCTGCGGCCAGACGGACCTTTTTTTTTTTTGATTAGCTAAATTCACTTGTGTTTTTTTCTCCATATATCATATAAAAATACAGGCATATATTTGAGTACATATGTTCATATGTATGTGTAAGTTTAGGGGGTGGGCGGGGTAGCTAATTAGTTATGAGTTGATTCAACCTGTTCCGAGATGTCTTCATGGCAGATGTTTCTCGCTGCTGCTGATTTTTTACATTTGGGGGACTTGATCAATTTATTTTATGATGTACAATTTCGATGACTTCGATGAATGAACGAAGGCACACACACACGCACACAAAAAAACCGGCATGGTGAACACGCACACACACGCAATCGAAGTCGTCTACGGGGGCTACAAGTTTTTGTGTCTTATGTAATTTTTTAGCTGTTTCTCTTTGCTGGCTGCTGACCAAAATCCCAATCCGCAAACAGTTTTTGGGCCCATTGTGGCTGTTGTAACACTTTGGCATTTTAATATGAAAATCGGCTTTAACAAATATTCGTCGTACATTTACGATGAGTCACAGACCCCTCTCTCTCTCTCTCTCTTTCTCTATGTGGATGGATGGATGATCTAATTTGAGATGAAGCAGAAAAACTTCCTTGTCGTAACAACAGCAAGCAGCAAACAGCAACTAGGCGTGTACCAATGGCATTTGCATTTCAACAAGTCCAATTTGCATATGAAATTCATCTGCACAGATCATCATATTATCTGTGGTGGTGGTGCGAGTGGTTGGTTATGTAAGACGCCAGACAAACGACCTTCATGGGAACCTTTTCGTGTTGCGAGTTTCGAATTTCGAGTCTTTTGTCTTTTGAGTGTTGTCGCTGAGATTTATGCGGATCTGTCCATCGATGTCACTGTGTCAATGCTGTCTGCCAGATAATTGCTTCCGCCTTGAGATCTTAAATTGCAACTGCAAAATACCTGACTAACACATTTTCCCTCTCTGATTCTATTTGATTTGCAGTTCCGGCGTGGAGCGGCCTGGCAAACGCTCTTCCTGCTCTGCGCACTCGCATATTGCATAAATGGTAAGCTTGCATCCACAGAATATATTAAAGATATGAAGGGATATTTGTATACATCATTTCGATATAATTACAGAGGCCAGCAGCGAGGGTCGCGTCGTTTGCTATTACACAAACTGGAGTGTCTATCGTCCGGGCACGGCAAAGTTTAATCCGCAGAATATTAATCCATACTTGTGTACACATTTGGTCTACGCATTCGGTGGATTCACCAAAGACAATCAAATGAAACCCTTCGACAAGTATCAGGATATTGAGCAGGGTATGTGCATGCCATTTCCCATCTCTCATGCCCCATGCCCATCCCACATTCAATGTTAATTCAACTCGATTTTAATTTCCTGTCTGTCTACCTGCATCCTCCTGCCCCACGTCGCTCATCCAGGTGGCTATGCAAAGTTCACCGGCCTCAAGACCTACAACAAGCAGCTGAAAACGATGATTGCCATTGGTGGCTGGAACGAAGCCAGCTCTCGCTTCTCGCCGCTTGTGGCCAGCAACGAGCGACGCCAGCAGTTCATCAAGAATATCCTCAAATTTCTGCGACAGAATCACTTTGATGGCATCGACCTGGACTGGGAGTATCCGGCGCATAGGGAGGGTGGCAAGTCGCGTGACCGCGACAATTACGCCCAATTTGTGCAAGAGCTGAGGGCAGAGTTTGAGCGCGAGGCCCAAAAGACGGGCCGGACTCGTCTGCTCCTGACCATGGCCGTGCCAGCTGGCATCGAGTACATTGACAAGGGCTACGATGTGCCCAAGCTGAACAAGTATCTGGATTGGTTCAATGTCCTCACCTACGACTTTCACTCGTCGCACGAGCCATCCGTCAACCATCACGCACCGCTCTACTCGCTGGAGGAGGATTCTGAGTACAACTACGATGCAGAGCTGAATATTGTGCGTACGACAGATGGATCCTCCCTTTAATTTGAGACTGATGGGCAAATTTCTTTGCAGGATTACTCCATCAAGTACTATCTGAAGGCGGGCGCCGATCGGGACAAGCTTGTGCTGGGCATTCCCACCTATGGCCGCTCCTACACGCTGATCAACGAGGAGAGCACGGAGCTGGGTGCACCTGCGGAGGGTCCCGGCGAGCAGGGTGATGCCACTCGGGAGAAGGGCTATCTGGCGTACTACGAGGTGAGTTTTCTATAGCCCTACCAAGTATATAAAGTTTTCTTTCAACACTCGTTACTCGTTACCCGCTACTCGTCACTCGCTCACAGATCTGTCAGACGCTCAAGGACGATCCCGAATGGACGGTGGTGCAGCCAAATGCCAATGTCATGGGTCCCTATGCCTACAGACGCAACCAGTGGGTGGGCTACGATGACGAGGCGATGGTACGCAAGAAGGCCGAGTATGTGGTGGCCCATGGCCTGGGCGGCATCATGTTCTGGGCCATAGACAACGACGATTTCCGTGGCACATGCAACGGCAAGCCATATCCCCTGATCGAGGCCGCCAAGGAGGCCATGGTGGATGCTCTTGGGTATGTTTTTTGTTGTTTCCAAAGTGCTGACTTCTAATAATCCAATTACATATCGTCCCTGTCTTCAGTCTGGGCATCAACGAGGTGGCCAAGCCGAGTGGACCACAGAAACCATCGCGTTCGCGCAGTCGCGATAATGCCGGACAGAATAGGAACCGTCTGAATGCCAAGACAGAGCCACCGACGCCGGCCAACTCGAGGCGCGGCTCCAGCGGTGGACGTCGCACCAGCACCAGCACAGCACCACCACCACCCAGCACCACCTTCAGGTTGACAGAGGCCGAGGGCTCATCGCTGTACATTGGAGGGCGAGGCTCGACCACGCCACCGCCACCGACCACACCCGATCCGGGATCGGACTTCAAGTGCGAGGAGGAGGGCTTCTTCCAACATCCGCGGGACTGCAAAAAGTACTATTGGTGCCTGGACAGCGGACCCTCGGGCCTGGGCATTGTGGCCCATCAGTTCACCTGCCCATCGGGACTGTACTTCAATCCGGCTGCGGACTCCTGTGACTTTGCCCGCAATGTGCCATGCAAGACCAAGAAGTGAGTAATCCGGCAAACACTCTCAACATCTAAGCACTCTTACCATTTCCATTTCTTCACTTAGATCCACCACAGCATCGCCGCCTGTGACTTCCACGACGACGACAACGACTACGGCGCGACCCAATCGGGTGACAGCTGCACCACCTGCACGACCTATCTATGCACCACGCACCACCAGCAGCACCACCTCGACCACAACCACTGCAGCGCCAGCCGCTGAGGACGAATTGGAGTACGAGGAGGAAGGGGGCAGCAGCCTCCTCACCGACGAAGAGCAGTCGCCAGGAGAAGAGGATCCGCAGGTGATCAAAGAGCTGATCGATCTCATCCGCAAGGTGGGTGGCGTCGAGCAGCTGGAGAAGCATTTGCTGCGCAACAAAGATGGCTCCATCACGCTCAAGGAGAACTCTGCCAGCGGTGCACCGACAACCCCATCGACCATCAGCAAGTCCCTCTACGATCGCGTTCTCAGTCGCCCTGGCACACTCAACTCGTTCACGCGCAATCGACTGAGGGTCAGCGAGACACCAGCAGCAGCTGCAGGTGCAACCCCAGAGACCCGCACCGAGAGCAGCTCGAACTCGAACTCAAACTACTCCAAGTACTCGTCGGTGTTGAGGGGCAACAGTCGCCAGGGTCCGCAGAATGAGGGCATCGAGAAGCTCACCGAGTTCGATGGCTTCCTGAAAGAGCGCAAACAGTATGTGACCATCAATCGGCATCGTTCGTCCAGCCAAGGCGAGGCCGAGTCTGACTCCGAGTCTGAGGAAGCAGTCGAGGAGCAGTCTGAGGGGGAAACCACCACCCGACGACCCATCAGTGCTGCAACGCCATCGTACACCAGTCTGCGACGCGCGCGACCCTCCACCACAGCGACCCCAGCAGAATTATCTCAGGAACAGGAGGAGGAGGAAGAGGAGCAGTCACTCAGCCAAGTGAAGTCCTACACCAGCTTGAGCCGCCAGCGAGGACGCGGCACCAGCGAGAAGTCAGAGGCAACAACCACCAGAAGTAGCACGGCAACGGAGTCAACAACCAATCGGTGAGAAATTCACTTTATACTTCAGATGTGTTCTTGCCTCACGCTCGCTTTTCGTTTTAGCTACAAATATTTGGAGCGTACAAGGCCCACGAAGAGCGGCAATAGTGGTGTTGCAGCTGCCGCAGAGGATGCTGCCGAGGATGATGACGAGGAGTACGAGGATGAGCAGCAGCAAAATGTTACGGTACAGAGCAAACAAAGTCTCACAGGCAACCAAAATACACGTAAATATGCGAGCATTGGTCGCAGTAGAACAACAACAACCACTACAGAAACAACACCAGAAACCACAACAACAACAACAACAACCACCAAAGGCACAGAGACTGCCAAGGCCAGCACCACCACCACCTACAACAACAGCAGCTACAATGTGAAACAGAATAACAACAAGAACAACAACAACAACAACAACCACCAAACAATACCAACAGCAACAGCAGAAAGCACTACAACACCACCACCTCAACCTCAATCACCGAGCACCACCACCACGCAACCAGAAACCACAACTAACGAAACCACTGAACCAATTGAAAGCACCACAACAGCCAGCACTAACCAGCATACCTCACCCAACACCCCCACAACCACAACCACACCCACACCTACACCTACACCTATTTTAGGATCCACCACCAACAGCATTGACTCAGACTCTTTGGCAACCATTGAGCCACTGGGCGATGCCACTCCCACCATCCCACTAGTCCTTGACGTTGTAAACAGTACGACAACAGAGCCCGAGCTGGGAACAACTACAACAACAACACCCACAACAACAACAGCAACAGTAACAATCACTGGCAACACCGAACGCAATGACGTGGACGTGGACGACAGTGACGACAGTGAGGTAACAAAAACCAAAACACAATACACAAAGTATGCAGCCACAAATCGCAGACGTGTGACCACAACAACAACCACAACGCCGACAACAACAAACAACAATTCAGAAGCTGCGATCGATGCTAGTCGAAACGGTTTGAATAGCATTAGCAACACTAACGTAAATAGCATTAGAACCAACTACTCTGGTAGAAGGCAACCACAAAGAACCACCACAAACACACAGACAACAACAGCCACAGAACCACAACCACTACCCACAACTAACCCGAATAATACGCTGGGTAGCGTATCTAGTCCACGACCCTTTGGTTATCCCAGACGGCGAACACGACCCACAGTCCCAAGCACCACTAGCACCACAACGATAAACGATAGCAACTCAAACGATAACTCAAACGATAACGCAAACTCAAACGATAAACAGATAACAGATGCAGTTGTGAATGTAGTGAAGAAGACACGACTATCCCAAGTGGATAGGCCCAAGGTGAGTCTTGCCAGTCTTACCGCCGCAACCACAACAAATACAACCACCACAGCAACTACTGCAACCAGTGCACCACAGCAGCACCACCAAAATGTAGAAGTAGTCGTAGATAATGGTAATGGTGGCAATAGCTTAAGGCATGACGTAGTTAGAACTATTATAAGTAAACCCCAAAACAACGCAGACACAGGCACAGCCACAGGCATCGAGGCCGAGAGCTTCACCAAGGCCAAGTACACTTGGCGCTCGGTTCGAGGACCAGCGGGAGCACGCCGGGGTTCGGCTGCCACTAGGTCTGGGGCTGGGGCTGGGGCTGGGCCCAATGCCCTGGCCGGCGACGACAAGGACACACGTAGGTATGCCGGCAAGCAGCTTTCCGCAGCTGATGATGATGATGAGGAACAGCAGCAGCTGTTGCCCTCCAAGTACCGCAGTCGGCGACTAAATTCAGCAGAGGAAGAGTCCGAGGCAGCCATAGAGGCGACAATTTTGGGTTCCTCTTCTGTTTCGAGTTCCACTTCGGGTTCCAGCTCCTCTTCGGGTTCAAGTTCGCGCACCTATCAAAGCATTCAACGCACTGCCAGCCGCGGAGCTGGAGCTTCATCGGATGACCAGCAGATTCGCTACCAGGCCATTAGCCGAGACAACGCGGGCACTGCACACCTCACCGCGGGACGCAGCTCAAGCTTCGTAAAGGATTTGGGGGAGGCCACAAGGCAACCAACCCGCAACTACCAGCCTATTTCCCGCGGCGGACAGATTGTGGTGGAGACCAACACCGAGGAGGATGAGAATGTAGCCGCTGAGGTGATCGATGATGAGCTGCCATCGGTGGCACGCGGCAGAACCAAGGCACCAGCCGCCAATGCCGTCAATACGGATGACAGCAACACGGCCACCGAGCAAGAGTCCCCGGAAATTGTCACGGAAGTGGCACCTGAGCCACAGATCCTGGACTTGGCTGAGGCAACCACTCTGCCAGCTATGGAAGACAGTGACAGCAGTAGCAGCAGCACCACTGAAGAATCAACCAGCACCACAACCACTTATGCATCTACCAGCACCACAACCACTGATGAGTTCTCCAGTAGCACTACTCCTGAACCTCTTGCTAGCAGCTCTACAGACGAAAGCATTCTGGAAGAAACCACCTTATTCCTGACTGACGAAACTGCAACCGATATCAGCGAAAGCTCAAGCACCACTGAACAGCCTGCAAGTAGCGCAAGCACCACTGAACAACCTGCAAGTAGCTCAAGCACCACTGAACCACCTGCAAGTATGACAAGCACCACAGAGTCTCAACCACAAGAGACAACTTTTAGGCCCGGTCGTCGTCCTTTCAATCGCGGCAGCAGCACCACAACCACAACGGAAATCAATGAAACAACAACCACCGAGACCACAAAACGTCGACCCCTCCTTCGAGGTGGTAAAACAACAACCACTGAGGAACCACTGAGCAGCAGCTCCGCTAAAGCAACCACCGCAGCAAAGGAAAACGATTTGAAAACATCAGAAGACGGAGCCACAACACGACGAACTTTCTTCCGTGGCGGTAGAACGAGCACCACAGAAGTTCCTTCAACAACAACTACCACTGAAGCTCCTTCGAAAACAACCACCACTGAAGCAAACAGCAGCAGCACTAGTACAACAAGCGAAGAATCGTTACCGGAAACAACCTCAGAAGCCACCACAAGACGCTCTTTCTTCCGCAACAAGACGCCCAGCAGCACCACAGAAGCAACAAGCACCACCACAGAGGGGGAGATTCAACCAGAGACAACCACAGGGCTGCCAAGACGTCGCGTCATAGTCCGCGGCAACTTCAGACCCCAAGGCAAGGAGGGAGATCTTTCTTCGCTTCTGGCTGCCGATGCCAACAAGAGATCGAGGTACAACCACCAAGAGTCCCGCAGAGTGGCACCCAAAGCAGCAGCAGCCGCACCAAATGAATACCAAGAGGAAGCAAAGGTAGACCATGAGGAAGCACAGGAAGACCAGGAGGAAGCAAAGGCAGACCAAGAGGTCGAGGTGACAGAGGTACAATCCAAAGGAACTGGCAAATTCCACAGTCGCGCATCACTCAACGGTGCTGCGGTGCGTAATCGCACTTCAACAAAGACCGAATCCCTGGGCAATGGCATCACCCGCACACGCACCACCTATGTGCGCACCCTGGACGCCGGCCAGAAGGTGGTCAAGCGGATCTACACCAAGACCGTGGAGGAGAAGCCCGCAGAGTACGAGTACATATACGACGAGGTGAGCCATGCACCGCCACCGAGCACCACCGAGCGGGTGATTACCCGCAACCGCGGCACGGTGCGCTTCCAGAGCAACGATCTGTCATCGCTGCTGGCCCTCGACTTTTCAACGCGTGGACAGCGCAAGAAGACACCACCACGACCAGAGGCGACGGTGACAAAGACACGCCGGCGTCTGCTGAAGAAACCCAAGGAGACCATCGAGCACGAAGAGGTTGAAGAGTTTGAGTACGAGGCGGGAAACGATATCGAGGCAGAGGCCGATGTAGAGGATGCACCGCACACCACCAGCACCACAGCTAGAGCCATTCAGCGCAGAACAAGACCCACAAGAAGCACCACAGCGAGACCAGCAACAAGCACCACAACAAGACCGACCACAACCACCACAACGCGAGCAACAAGCACAGATTCGGTTGAGGTTGAGGCCAGTACGCGTCGCAGTAGCTTTGCTGGCTTCAGGCGTCCCTCAACAACCACCACCGAGTCGCCAACAACAACGACAGCCACCACAGAGGCGCCACCAACGGCAGCAGCTGCCACCACTAGACGTGTGCTGACCCAACGGAGACTCATAGGAACCAGGACAACAACCACCGAAGCAAGCATCGATGAATCCACCACCACGGAAGATCAACTCTCTGCGGCCAAACAGCGGTTTGTGAATCGTCTGCGAAGCAGCAGCACCACCACCACCACGACACCCGCTAGTACCACCACAGAAGAGCCACTTGCAGCCACCACAGAGGAGGATTTGAGTGTGCTGAAGCGAAAGCTTAACAACGCGGTAAACCGCCTGCAGTCGGGCAACGAAGTGAAGGTCACTGGAACGGACACGGGCAAGTACAAGGACAAGGAAACCAGCGAGGAGGAGGAGCAACAGCTATCGCTGCCGATCTACCATCGCCGAAAGTACTATCAGTATGTGAAGGATTCACCCATAACGTATATAGACAAGTCCCCAGCACCGCCGGACATTGAGAGTGTGACGGTGAACATTCGTCAACAGATTCACGACGTCTTCAATGTCAGCGCCAAGGATACGATTAATAATTCCGTCGAAGTGGAGGATGAGGTGAAGGTGAAGGAGGAGAAAGAGCCTCTGGAGCACCACCGCCTGGCCATGGAGCAGGCCAAGGAGATTAATGCCGAACTCGGTCATTTTTTATTGAAAACCCCCGGGTCACAGTAGGCCACCCGGGGGCAAAGTTGGTCGGATCAGGTGAGGAGACATTAGACGATGAGCAAGAGGAGGACGAGTTAACCGCTCAAATCGATGATGATGATGATGATGATGATGATGAAGATGAGAATAAATATGGGAAAGCGGCTGGCAAGTCGCAACGCAGGGGAAAGACCTTCAAGACCATACCACTGACGACGGCCTCGTCGAACGAAACCTCAAATATCGTAAGCATCTCGCTGCTGGAAGATGCGGAAGCCGCCAGAAGCAACACCGATGACGAAGCCGATGCCCAGCGCAGCGAGGAGGATGCCAGAGCTTTGCGCACCTACTCGAAGCTCAATCGTACACGCCTCACGTTGTCCACTCGGCTGCAGATTGCTGAGGAGCAGCCAGCAGAGACAACCACTAGGAGAAGCTACAGCGTGCCCCAACGCTTTCGCAGTCGCTCGACAACAGTTAGAACAACCACAAAAGCGGCAGAGGAAGTGGAAACAGAAGAAGGAGCTGAAGTGGAAGCAGAAACGGAAGTGCCGCCATCCGAGATAACCACACGACGCAGCTTTGCCGCATTGAACAGACTGAGGAATCGCGGTACAACCACCAAAACAACAGAGGCAACAAACACAGCCACAGAGGCGACAACTTCCACTGCTAGAACCACGCGCCAACCCTACAAGGCTCTCAATCGCAGGGTAACAACAACCACAGAGCTGCCAGCTGGCAATGAAATTGAAACTAAAACGGAGAGGGCAACCACTGAAGACGCCACAGACTCCAGCCCACAGGTGGATACTGAAACAGAGAAGGCGGAGGAGAAGAAGAATGAGGAAGAGGCGGAAGATGAGGAGCTTTTGGCCGAACTGCCCGAGGACAATGAGATTTCCGATGAAGAAGAAATTAGTTCAACACCAACAGCAGTCACCACCAGCAGCACATCCACTGAGGCCAATAGCGTGCGACCAACACCACGTCGTCAGCTGGTTATAAGACGTCGCTTCAATGGAACAACAACCACATTAGCCCCAACCACTGATGACAGTCTGGACAATGAAATAGAAACGAGCAGCACAACAACCGCTGGACCCGCGGCACGTCGACCACTTTTGATACGCCGCCGTTTTAATGGTACAGCAACGACCACCAGAAGCACCACGACAGTGGATAAAACCGATGAAAATGAAATAGAACAAGGGGACAGTAGATCAAAAGCCACAGCAAACAGTGTGGTTTCGGGACGGCAACCACTTTTAATACGCCGACGCTTTAATGGAACAACAACAACCACCGCTAGGGTCACATTGGGAGGAGGTTCAACGAACGCCGATGATGCCGAGAAAACCACACGACGTCCATATGCGGCCTTGAATCGCTCACGTAATCGTTATGGCGCAACAACAAGCAGAACAACAACAACCACTGCAGCCAGCGATGATGGCGATGACGATAACGATAACGAGAACGATTACGAGGAGATCGGCGAACGTGTGGAGAGCTCCACAGCACGCGGTGGCTTCCTACAAACGAACCGCCACAGGGCATTGAAGCCGGTCAGCTTTGCCACACGTCGCAGCAGTACAGCGGCACCGCCGCGGATAAGCTCCAGTACCCGACGCAATCTGGTGGCACTCAACAGAAATCTCTACCATCGAGCGGAGGAGGAGGAGGAGGAGACTGAGCCTGAGCCTGAGCCTGAAGAGGAACACCAACAGGAGGAGGAATATGATGAGGAGGAGGAAGAGGAGCCGCAGCAGCAGTTGAGTGGAAGCACGCCCAGAACATCAACGAGATTGAGTCAATTGCTTGCCAGCAGACAGAGAACGAGCCAAACAACAACGACTGACACGACACAAACACAAAAAGAAACAGAAACAGAAACAAAGCAAGACGAGGACGTGGACGTGGACGAGGACGATATTGAGGCGGATGTGGATGATGATGCAGCTAGTTCCGTAGAGGTATCCAACACTAACAGTAACAATAGCAGGGTAAATGGTAGCACCACTAACACTAACCACAGCACTGGCACCAGCACGGGCACCCCAGCACCACTGAATGTCGTAGCTAGTCGTAGTCGTAGCAACAGCACCGTAGCCAATTATTTGTTGAATCGTTTCAAGCTTAACCAAAACCAAAACAACAACCAGTCAAACAACAACCACACGAAACAACAACCACAACAAGTCACTGTTAAAGCTATTACTAAGGATAAACATAACGATGATAGTCAAGAAGAAGATGATAATGATGATGTGAATGAAAACGATGCTAGTCCAGGGAATGATAATGATAATGAGAATAATTTTGGGTTAAATGTGAATGCGAATGGGTTTGAGAATGCAAATTCGAGTGTTGTTTTAGGTAATGAAGTTAATTCTAAACGACGTTTTCAGAATCGTTTTCAATTGAGCCGCACCAGAGGCAGCAGCAGCAGAAACAGCACCACAGAAAGCGGCATCAGCACCACAGCTGCAACACCAACAACGACACCGACACGTCGCTTTGCCTTTGGCAGCCGGCAGCGTACGCAGCAGGTAACTAAATTAACCCAAGTCGATGATGACGAGCAGACTGAAGAGAATGAACAGACTAAGGATAGCCAAGAGTCGTCCCAAGAGGACACCACAACGGCAGCAACAATTAAAACAACCACAACCAGCAACAGCAACACCTTCAGCAAGCCGACACCAAAGCGCATACGCGTACTAAAATTCCGACGACCCATCAATACAACAGAAAACAGCACAGCCACAAATAGCGCCACTGAAAGCACAGAAAACCACACAAACAACAATACAGTAAACCCCACACTAAACACCACAGAAACAACACCCACCACAGTAAACACCAACAATAGCAAGCGTTTCCGTAAGATTGTGCGTAAGCTTAGGCCCGTAGAAGCCAGCACCAGCAGCAGCCCGGCCAGTGGTGCTGATGAGAGCACCGAAGATGGCACCACCACCACACGTAAGCCCTTTTTACCCAGCCACACCCGATTTGCAGGTGGCGAGAGCCAGGACAATGATCTACTGAATCTGCGACAACGACTCAAGGAGCAGCAGGCCAAGGGCGAACCCCTTGATGGGGTGCTGAGCACACGGCTGAAGCCAGCTTCGGGATTGGCACAAAAGTCAGGGGCAGAGGATCAGGATATCTCGGAGCTGCAGCGTTTGAGGGACAAGGTAAAGGCGGAACAGGCACGGGGCACTGGCGAACAGGGCGTGATCAACGATCGCCTAAAGAAGCTGCTGGCCGAGAAGTCAGAGAAATCCGACAAGTCGGACAAGTCGGAGATTGGCAGCAACAATGAGCCAACACCAGCCACAGAGGTATCGTCGCGGCCCTTCTTCAAGCGGAAGCTGGTGGCCAGAAGGCCCTACACACCAGCAGGAGGCGCCACCACCACCACGAAGGCACCACTCAGCTTTAATAGCTCGCGACCCACACCGAAGTTTGTGCGTCGCAAGAACGGTCGCTTCGATCCCTTCAACTCGAGTGTGCGCAACCGGGGCGAGGGTTTCGTGCGCAGCGATCCGCGTGGATCCCGTCTGCCCGGAGCCGACCGCTTTAAGAACCAAAAGGCAGAAAACGAGGAGGAGGCTGCGGAATATGATGATGATGATAATGCGGAGGAGGAGCAGAGCGACGAGGCTGTAGAGGCGCAGCAGGAGCAGCCGCTGAACAATCGCCCGCTGGGCGCTGGCGGTGTAGCCCTGAGAAGGCCTTTCGTGCCCAAAGCCCGAAACCAGCCACAGTCACAGAAGAGCCAGAATGAGGAGAGCGAGGAGGAGGACGAAGAGGAGGAGGAAGATGACGAGGAGGATGAGGAGGAGGAGGACAACAACAATGACAACAAAGAGGCCAAATATCAGACAGAAGAAGGCAGCAGCAGCGGAGGGGCCACGCCCAAGCCAAAGTTCAATAATCCCTACCGCCCCAAGGACAATCGCGCGCTACCCGGCAGTCGTCCGAGTTTTGCACCTACCGCAGGTGGTTCCGGTCCCGGTACTGGTCCCGGCGGCAGCAATGTGCCCTACAATCCACGTGGTCGGCAGCCCAACTCCTCGACAGCGAATGGCTCCGGCTCGGTCGCCGGCAGTCGCTTTGGTGGCAGCACCAAGCGGCCGCGCGTGGTCAATCGACCGCCGGGCGTGGCCACGCCCAATCTGACACTGCGGCCTGTGGCCAGCGACTATGAGCGCACCACACCGCTGACACCGCTGAAGCCGGCACCGTTCATACCCAGTAACACGAGGAGCTACGAGCGCAAGTACACGGGTCCCTCCACGGAGGCCACGGAAACGGCCAGCGAGAATTCGCTGATCGAGGAGCTGAACATCGATGCGTTGAATGCCAGGAACAAGAAGATCTTTGATATCAACAGCAAGAAGCACACGACACTCAAGCCGAAGGTGGTGAAGGTGGAGGCGGTGGAGACGGAAACGGAGGTGGAGACTGGCACTGAGATGGAGACCACAGAGCAGGTGGCACAGGAACAGGAACAGGGCTATGTGACAACCACACCAAGCACACCACCAACTACCACACAGCCAGACACCAGCACCAACAACACCACCACAGACACCACTCCAAGCATAGAAACAGATAACGAAACCACCGCACCACCACCACAGATATTACCACAGAATCCACCACCCACCAACGACAATGAGACCCACAATGCTAATGAAGCCCCCTCTTCACTCCCACAGGATCTGACATTGACAGGCGGAGCACAGCTCTCCACCAGCACCACCCAATCACCGCCGCCGGCCACCACTTTGCTGCATGTCTTCACCCTGCTCGAGGGCGAGGGTGAGGGCGATGAGCAGGCGGCCTCCACCTCCACCAGCAGGCCACCAGCAAAGTCCTATCCAGCCAGTGTGGGCCGCCAGACGATTGCCGAGCCCAAGCACAAGCTGATCGAGATCAATCGCATTGTGGAGATCAACTCGAAGCAGGCGAAGGCCGCTCAGCGCAAGTCCAAGGCCAATCAGCAGGACTTTGGCATGCTGCGGGTGGAGTCGCTGCCCCACGTGGAGCAGCTGGGCGAGATCAGTGTGGTGAAGTATGTGCATCTGGTCGATGGCAGCGCCATTCAGATCAACGATGGCCACAGCACCGTTGCCGACTACACACCCACAGAGCCCACAGCCACATCCGACTATCGCAGCCTCTCGGCACCCGTGCGGAATACGCTGCCACTCAGCGAGGCAGACACAGGGCCTGAGAGCGAGGTCGAACGCAGTGGCAAGTCCCTGCCGGAGGTGATCAGTGGTGCATTGGAGACATCGACCATATCGCTGGAGGGCCTGTTCGATTCGGCCCGCAAGGGCAAGCAGTTGAACAGCAACAGCATACTGCAGGACACTGAGGAGACAACGACCATGGAGAGTGAGACGACGGTGGTGCCACCCACAGCCGCTGCCATTGCCGCACAGGCCACATACGTAAGACCCATTGTACCCCTACTGCGTCCCGAGTCCAACGAATCCTCTCCCCTAGTCATCTCGATAGCCAATCTCGATAAAGTCATACTGAGCAAGGTGCAGAAATCGCTGGCCGAGTCAAAGGGTGCTGGTGCCGAAGAGGGCACCACCATTGCCACCGATGTTGATGGCGATGACGATGCGGATGCCACCACCACCACTTCCACCATCACTAGCAACGATTCGAATTCGGCATTCTCTGTTCGTCATGCCTCAGTGCTTCAGGCGCCAATAGACACTCAACACAAAACACAACAAAAACAACAAGAAACCACAAAAACAACTAAAACAACAACAACCACAATTGACAGCAATAAACAACAACTGCCGCTGGGCAGTGGCGCTATTAGTGGACAAGACACAGCAACAACAACAATTAACACTTAACAACAGCTGTCGAGCAACAACAACAATAACAACAGTGGCAGCAGCAACACCACACAAACAACAACCACAACAGCAACAACGAATAACATGATTGGCAGCAGCGTGAGCGAGATAGTCAGCTTTAGCACAGAGACTCATGTGGTGCATCGCAAGAAGAAGGCGGGTCGCAAGGGGCGTGGCCGAAGGCTGCGCAAAAAAACAACAACAACCACAGCGGCCACAACCACAAGCACAACGACAGACGACGACACCACAGTGGTGCCGTTGGAGTAGAGCTTTCAAATTGCCTGCCTTAAAACTCCCAGCCCTACCCCACACACACGTAGTTAGTTATTTCTAGTCTTATCCCCCCCAAGAGCCTGCCCCCCGCCCACAGCTCATTGCTCTAGTGTTGCAAGGTACACAAGCTTGCTGCCACCCTGCCCCATTGTAAATAATTGGCTGCGTTGCTTTTGTCTTTGAAAAAACAAAACCGCAAAATTCTTTTGGAGCTGATTTTTTTCCAAATTTTCTAGTTTTTCTTAATTTAAAAAACCAAAATTGTCCATTTTCAAGTGCTGCCTGCTTTCCAGAATAATATTCTCTATTTCTATTTCTATTTCATTTCTAAACATTTATATATATATTTTTTTTAATATGTTGTTTAAACAATTCGTATTCTTCAAGCTGCCATACCTAAACAAAAATCAAACACAAACACACACACATACACATGTACTTACCAACACACACACACACACACATTGAAACATTCAAATCCATGCAGATACGAAAAGTCTTTCCTTTGGTTCAATCAATCAAACAAATCAATCGATACGACCCCCCCAGTGGATGACATACTTGAAAGTGCCCTAAAGTACTTTTTTTTTAATTTTTGCTTTTGTTTTCACCATGCGCAGTTTTTTCCTCTTACTTTCTCTCTACTTACTATCTTTCCCCTCTTCTATCCACTCTATCCTCAATCCCGAAGAAAAAAAAATAGCTTAAGTATAGCTCTAGTTGTAAAATATTTATGCACAACAATAAAATAATGAACAAAAAGAAACCAATTATACATACTATATTTTTTGCGACAACAGCCACAACAGAACACAACAACAACAACCCAAATCCACCAAAATGTCCCCTATACCCACATTGTATAATGGTAACAAATCGTGCAACAAGTTTTGTATATTTTGTATATATTTTATAGTTTTATATTTTTATTGATTATCGCTTTTAACACATAATATTTTTTTACATTTACAGCAGGATTTCTTAGGGAATTTCTAAAATTTGTATTAGATCATTATTAAAGCTATAAGAAAAACGCTTGGCAAATCTTTAGTTGTCTGATGAGGCAATCGCCAATCCCCCGCTTCGACTGCCTGCAAATGTCATCCGTAGAATCTCATTAACTTGGTCTCTTCGTTGCTGGATTCTACTGCTGCCATGAAATGTCAGCGTTTCATGAAGTGACTATTGCCTCATGCATATGCAAAAAACAAAAACCACTCATTACAAGCCAGTGCACCGTAAGAAAATGGGAGAGTAATATTCAGAATATTATGCGTCAAAGATATTCCTAAAATTAGCTAAAATATTCTAACTTTATTAATCATTTCGCCTCAACAAACTCATACTTTATATTCTGAGTATTGTTTCTTCTGTATAGCAATCCATTCGTTCATCTTCATTCGTGTCTATACTTTCCAAATCATTCGAAACACTGCCCTTTTTTCGCTCCGTACATAACGTTACATATGTATGTATGTAGGTACTATGTCTGTGCATTCATATGTTTACCGTTTGTACGGATAATCGGTTTCAACTTTCGTTGGATCCGCCGCACAAGATGTGCAAAGTCAGCAAAGAGTCAGTTAGTCAGGCGCAAAAGAGCCAACAAAACATAAAATAAATATAAAAACGAGTTCACATTAAAACAATTTTCAAAAAGACTTGAGTCGACAGGAGAGACAAGACATGTTTCATAATCGTAATTGTCGTCGGTTTGTTCGCTTTTGGAACTACTCCACGTAGTCCCCTGCCGTACACTCCGTTCCCCACCAAATGATAATTGCCAAAAGTCAAATCACGCGCCGCATAACAAAACTGACAAACACAAAAAAAGAGTCTCCGAAATCAGGTTGACAAAAAAGTCGTTAACGTGAGAAACATTAAAACGGTTCAACGATTTTTCAAGTGTCTTGAAACGACGGTGCCGGCGGCTGATTTTGTCTTTGAAATCCTCGAGTGGATGTCAAGAGTGCATGAAAATCCAATTTGAAAGATGCAGTAAAAGTTTACAAAGCAAAGAAATACCCTCTCGTAATAATGAATAATAAAAAGAAGCCAAACAAAGGCAAACAACACAGTGCCACATTATATTCTCATTGTCTTTGTTGCGAGTTGAATGCCAATGAGGCAGGCAGTGGAGATTCCAAGGAAGATTACCAAAGCATTAGATTACTTATTGCTGATTCCGTTTCAGTGTTTTGAATGTCAAGAGAAGATCAAAGTGTAGCGTTTTGCGTTCAATATTCCAAAGATAAACAAATCTTTCTACATATAATGTTCGTGGATTCGAGAATAACTTTTTTGCAAAGCAAATCTTCTTCTGAGAGAAAGCTCGCCGCCTTACAGTTACTCACGTTTGTGCGTTCTTCTTTCTCTGCCCCCCCCCCCCTCTCTCTCTCTCTCTGCTGATCTGCAAAGTCGCCCTCATTATTGCAACTGCCAGTTAACCTTGAAGGAGGATCTCACTCTTCATTCCAAACACACACCCGCAGCCCTTTCAGACTCGGGTTGCGCTTTCACTCTTGTTTCTTGAATCTTTTTATTTCCACATGTCCGCCCCAGAGGCGACTTTCACTGAAACAAGATACGCTTTACGCAGATGTGGCCGACGCCCTGCACGCATCATTCGCCGGACTCTCCATCACGATGATGATTAAGCAAGGGGCCAATGATGCTTGCACAATATTTAATTAAGGTTCCAACCAGTTTGACAGCGCGCATCTGCCTGCAAAACAGCAGCAGCAGCAGCTTTGGTTATCCGGGATTATGCAATCACATTGGAATGCAGTCGGCAGCAGAGTTGCCAAATACCAGATCTGGCCACAGGCTGCCGCTACTGCTGCTGCTGCGTTCCAATCTTCCAATCGATTCCAAGCGATGAGCCCCGGACTCTGTTATGCAAGCTCTCTCTCCCTCCCTCCTCTCCATAAAGCTGAAAGTGTGTCATCCATCTGCCCAGCCCCTGGTCCGGCTCCCACTCAAGCGATAATCATATGCGTGTGGCGTGCCACACTTTGGAGATAAACTTGCGCCCGTTTCCGTTATGCAAGCTTTTGTCTTGAAGCGTGTCTGTCTGTCTGTGCCTTACCATCGGCCCTACCAGCGACATTGACACTTGCGTTGAGGGCCATTGATCAAAGCTCTTGAATATAAACTCTCTCTCGCTCTCTCTCTTCATCTCCACGTTTTCTATTTCTTTATGTGTGTCTGCTTCTTGGAGCTGTTTTCAATGTCAACAACATTGTCCACACAACACAAACAACAGCAGAAACCTAAAGAGAAAAAAACTAGCACAAAGTGCTCGCAACTCAACTGGCATTTTGCTTTGGTATTTCTCCACAACTATTATTGAATGGCATTTATTTTGCACTCAAACGTCCTTCAATTAAAATGCCCGACTGCATTTTTGTTGCTATTGCTGTGTTGCTCTCAGTATTCATGTGATCTCGTTTGTGGTTGACATTCGCATTCAATCAAATCGAGTGGAAGGGGGTGGGGGCAACCGCCGTTAGAGCTCTTCACATGCGCTGGCGTGGAAAGTGCAGCTATAGCTACACCTGCTCTCCACTGGAAGGCTTAAACGTTTAGGATTTAGGGTATGGTTCCGCTTGTGGAACTTTCAACCATTTTACACTCTCTTTTGTCGCTCCTGAAAAACTGTAAACAAAACCAAAAACACAAACAAAACAAAACGCCTAACAATTTATTGCACAAAAATATGTTAGTAATTCTTTAGTTTTTTCGTTTCTTATCTATTTAGTTGAAACATTTACTAATACTAACGCTGCAAGTATTCTATTATTAGAATGAACTAATTATTTGTATTATTTTATTATTATTTATCAGCATGTAGCGCGCTTTTGAATTGTTGTTGAACTGTGAAAACTGCACCGCCAGGAAAATGCACAAACAAAACAGAAGATCACAAATCACAAAACGTATCCAAAAATATTACACAAAAAGTATCACATAAAAAATGCACAAAAAGAAAGTCTGATAGAGTAGAATACACACGCGATAAACGAAGTGAATTACCCTGTAAATACCCTTTCCAAACGAAAGCTAACTGGAATTCTGCTCTGCTCTCATCTCCATCTCTTTCATGTAACGCTAAACACCGCACCTCCGACCGGCAGCTGCGCCAGCCAACAACTGCCAACGTCTCGAGGCGCCCCGTGCTAAGTGTGCGCCGGCGTATTATCAATACGCCAACGTCAGCGGCGGCAGCAGCAGCAGCAGCGACGACCACGCAAATTGCAGAATTAACAACGACCTCCAAATACAACCGACTGCGCAGCAGGCCAGCAGCGACAGCAACCACAATTCCAGCAGCAGCAACAGCCGCCACAACTACGGCAGTAGCAGCTGTTGGGGCAACATCTGCAACAGCCACAGCCAGTGCCAGTGCCAGCAGAGGCAGCAGCAACAGCAACGGTTATTTGAGCAAGCTTAAAGCCAAAAGCTCATCATCCGCAGAAACAACTTCAGCGATCGCCAGCAGCAGCAGCAACAGCAACAGCGCCAGCAGCAATGACATCACACAAAAGCAGCATAAATTCCAGCCAGCGAGCTTTGCGCTGCGACGTCAGTTCCAGACGCGTCGACTGACGACCTTTGCTCCGGGCGCAAGCAGCGGGGATGAAAGTGGTGAGTAGAGTGGCGCAGCGTCGCCAGCAGCAGCAATTAAAGTGGCAGTGAGGCAGCCTCAGCTTCGAGCTACATACATATATTAAAGAGAAGGTAAGGCAGTGACCGGCTGATCTTATCTTCCATTTAATATACGCATAGCTCCGATGACATAGTGGCCAGAGGTGAAATGTGTACAACCAATGTTTCTCTCTCTCTCTTTTACTCCACGCACTCTCTCTGTCTCTCTCTGTGACGCTCTGTGTTGGAAATGATAGATGTTTTTTTGTATACCGCAGCCACTGAGGTGCCGCGCACCCAGAATCCCCTCTTCAAGCGCCGCCTCACCCTGATATCCACCACACCACCACCGGCCACTAGGACCACCATTGTGCCCACGCTGACGGAGACCACCACGAATCTGTATGCCAACGAGGACGACGAGGATCAAGTGGCCAAATCCAGCATCCACACCAGCCGCTTCAATCAGATACCCTTCGAAAGTGTCGCCAGCAGTGGCAGCCAAACCACTACCACCAGCAGCAGCCCCACCACCACGAGCACTAGCACCACCCCTGCCACACCGCTGGGCCTCGGTCCGGGTAAACGTGAGTCGACCACCCACCCACCCTCCACTAGGTTTGCGAAAGCCTCTCCCCCTAATGATCCCAATTTCCGTTTTGTTTACAGGTCGCCAGCTTGTGCCACGCCCCCGTAGGCCACAGTCCACCACGGTTGCCACGCCCTACTACTCAACTGGAAACCCTGGGGCAGGACACTCGGCTCCGCCTCTGTCGCGCCGCCAGCAGAGTCGTCGCCGGCCCCACAAGTACATTGAGGTATACAGCCGCCCGCCCAGCAAGCCGGCACTGGTGACGGCCACCGCCAGCAGTCGACGCAGCGACTATCCGGCGACCCTGGACTACGAGGAGGGAGCCCAGAGGCGTCGCAGCAGCAAGTCCCAGTCCGCATTACAATCCCTGTCCCAGTCAGAGCCGAAGGTAATCGTACATGGCAGGGGCATCATCGAGTGCCGGGCCCAGGGTAATTTTCCGCATCCACTCAACTGCCGGAAGTTCATTTCCTGCGCCCGGTTCGAGGAGACCGGCGGCATTGTGGGCTGGGAATACACCTGCCCCAAGGGTCTCACCTATGATGGCAATGGTGGCATGTGCACCTGGTCGCCCTCGGATCAGGCTGCATGCCGGGATTAGATGGCAATGACTGAATATATACGCACACACTTCACCACAATGCACAATGCACCCATTCACCACCATGTCACCATCTCTGAAATCGAATTTCACACCACTCCCATCTCTAATCCACTTCCGGTTACTGTACCCATTTCAAATTGTCCCCCCCATGCCCAATGTTGTAAATGTTTTATTCTAATTTGTGATTAGTTCTGCTGAGTATGATGAAAATGATTATGTGGAATTAAGTCCACAACGATGATGAGGATGTTGATGATGATGCAAATTTATGTTAATTATTTAAGCTTAGTGATATATCTCGAGAACCCATTTTTTTGCGCCCTGCCAACTCAGCGAGTAAGCAAAATGTTGTCTATGTTGTAGCTCTTCGATGGCTCATCGGTCGATTGCTCAATCATACACATACCGATGTCTGCTATATGCTATATATCATAAAGGATAATATGCTTTCTGTATCAAATAAACATAAACCATATCGTGTAATCCAATATCATTCGAGAGTATCTATTTTTGGGATTAAGATCTGAGAATCGACCAGGGACTGCAGAAGGAATCATCGACGATAATTCAACTTAAATAGGAATGAGAATAAATCCATCATTTGGTTGATCTTCAAAGGCTTTGCTTTACTTTCAAATAATTTCTCAATCGCTTCTGTTTACCTTCGTTTCCAATATGCTTTTTGAATTTCAAGTGTAGATTCCAATTTATAAAAATAATATCTCATTTAATAGTGCAATGATTTTTTTTTATTGTGTGGTAAAAAAACGAAGCGTAATCTAGGGATTCAATGGGGAAGGAATTTACATGCTCTGATGGATGGTATGGGGGTTCGATCGCATGAGGGTTGTGCGATCCGGTTTCGAGTGGAGCCGGATGGAATGTTTTTGAAGGTAGATGTCTATTGGCGGGCTCCCTGGCGCTGGCCCTGAGCGGACTGGCTCCAGGCCTCATGGATGGCATGGAAGCCATTCTGGGTCTGGGCGGGAGTGCTGCGGCCGAAGGGGCTCTTGGAGTTCACCTGGAGCATGTAGTCACCCTGGACATCGTAGTCGGTGGCGATGCCCATGTAGGTGCGCTTGCCATAGCCGTTGTTCTGCTTGTACTCCTTGTAGGAGCTGGCGGCGACGGCGGGGAAGTTGCGCTCGTTTCCTGGGCGGACGGACTCGGCAAAGTAGCGGGTGGCGCGCATGGAGGCCTCCACGACGTTGTCGGCTCCGGGAACACCGGTCGACGGTCCGTTGGGGTAGAAGTCAACGTTGGCAAGGCGCGCGGGGGTGCCCATGCCGTAGGCGGAGGTGTGGATGGCGTCGACAAAGTCAGCATCGCCACGGGCCAGGCCGGTGAGCTTCTCCTCGGGCTTGCCGTAGATCTTGGAGGGGTCCAGGCCGGTGATGCGGCGCAGCTTGTGTCCGGTCTGGCGGGTGAACTGGCGTCCGGCGACTCCGGCAACATGGGCAGCGGGTCCCTGGCCAATCAGATGGATGATCTCCTGGGGCACGTTGACGGCGTTGGTCAGCTCGACGAGGCGGTTGCCGATCAGCTGGCCGAGACGCTCCACATTGAGTGTGGCGAACTGCTCAAAGTCCTCGATGGCATCGCCGAGGTTGATCACAATCAGGTCTCCGGTCTTGGTGTCGTCCTGCTCCTGGCCCTGCTTGCGGCGCTGCTGCTGCTGCTCCTCGCTGCTAGACTTCTGCTGCTCCTCGTTGCTGGACTGCTCAGTGGCATAGGGCTGGAGGTTGTAACGCTGCTGGTATGCCCTCACCAGCTTGCTGGTGGCCTTGCGCACTTGCGACGAGCTCTGGGGCAGACCCTGGATGAAGATGGTCACCTCATCGTCGCCAAAGTTGGGCTGACGCTTCACCGTCTGGACCAGGTTGTTCAGGTTGAACTCGACCTTCTGGCCGCGCTCGCCCACAATGAAGCCCTTGATCTGGCTGGGCTCCGGGGTGTACTCGGGCTGGAACACGTTGTTGAACTGGGAAAGATGATCTACAGAAGGAAAGACCGAAAGGGTATCAGTATGGGTTTCGCGTATACGTCTGGAGAGACTACTCACAGAGCTTGTCCAAGAGAGTGGCACCCTCCTCGAGGCTCATCTCCTGCAGCTTGCGAAGATTCACCTGCTTGAGGGAGGGCAGCTCCTGAATCTCACGAGGATTCACCCAGTTGCTGGGCTGATCAATGTTGCTCAGAGAGTTGGAGGAGCGGCGGCTGGAGGAGCCCGTGTTCGAGTTGGCCATCGATGCTGCCACCAGGCAGGCCATCAGGCAGAGAGTGCGCAGAGGATTCATCGTGATCAGTAAAGAGACTAGGACTGGATGATGTACCAAGTTGTACTGCATATTTTCCAACGGTTCGTTTTACTTTTATAGCCCACAGAAAAAAGGGGAAGCGAAGCCCCTCGTCTCAGCCCACACGTGCCATGGGATCGAACGGAACGGAAGCAACGGTCGATCGATTGGCCTGATCAGCAGAAATTCTAGAATCGATTTTTGCACTTTTCCATTATTTGTATATATATTTTCCACTTTATCAGTTTGCTGGAGCTGATTGTCGGCGTCAGCAGTCGCTGATTCTTGATGATGATGCGACTCATGTCTCTCTTTCTGTTTTTCTCTACTCAAAAATTGGGCAACTTCATGGGAAACTTACGTAACAGTAGCCGCGATCGATTGGGTTTCATATGGGAAAAGTGCATGAGAAAATCTCATGATCCATCGGGTTGAATGACCCACACTGTTGATGTTGAAATGTTGTAGCAATTCGCTGAGGAAGATTGTTATTTTGTTTATTTTTGGGACAATATTTCGATAAACTATTGAAGGACTGCTTGCTGTTTGGACAATAAAAATAAATACAAATTCCCACCAAAATGGTGATGTTAAGATTAAAAAATATAGTCCACGTAATGCAAATGAAGTTCTGCCGAATATCATCCTCAGTTAGATGCATTGATTCCGAAATTGTCTCTAATTTCCCTTCGCATTTGGCGGTTGTACGAGAATTTATGAATGAATTCTTAGAGTTCAGAGTTGGAACAGTTTTCCATCACCTTTTCAGTAATTCGAAGTCCAACTATCTATGGCACATGTAGCTGGCATAGAAACGCAAAAGTCTCTTATCGATGTAGTTCAATGAACCTGCATTTGATTTGTCCTTCAAATTTGCATGGTTGAGGAACAAAAGACTTACGGATGCACAGAATGGACTTGGAAATGGAATAACTAAATGGAATGCCCTTAGAGACAC